AACTGCTGAAGGTAAGATGGATACACAAAAGTTTATTTTCTCATTTTGTATGTATTTTAAATTTTCCACAAAAATATTTTTTAGAAGGCAACAATGCTGCCAATTCTACATATCATCGAACTTAATGCATTTCACAAATTCAAGCATGAATATTTCTCCCACCATTTTACATCTCTAAAATCAAGAAAGACACATCTGGTCAAGCATGTGTCAGTTTAACTGGGAGTATTTTTTCTTAATGGTACATAATATAGTGTATTTAAAAACAAACAACATCTTAAATTTAACAATTTTTAAAAATTTGATAATAAATATATCCACCTATCTATTCTTCTTAACTAAACTATTTGCACTGTACCTGGAAGAGTTTTAAAATTCTCATCTATCTGGATTTTCTTATTTGTTTGGAATTAACTCAGTTACAGTGAAGCATTTAATTAATACTTCAGCCCAAATAAAAACGAACTTATTTTCCAAGGTAAGTGTATTAATGGTAGAGATGATTTGGGAACATGGAGCAAAGACTAACGAAATGCAGAAAAATGTGTACTTATGCCACCAAGTCTAAAGAATATAATAAAAACTGATTCTAATTGAACAGCTATCTTTTCCTTCATTTTGAAGAAAGGTGTCCCTAAGTATACCACTTTAGCACTTGAACAAGTTGCTGGTTTCAAGTAATCTAAAGGAATATGGTAACATGGCAAGTCTCTATGTCTCACTGCAGTGAAACATTAATGGAAGCAAAATTTACTAACATACATCAAATTACTGAGGAAGAAAAGAGGACAAGAAAATTTTTTTGACAAGTGCAATTTTAGAAATTGAATTTTTCAAGTACAAACTTTATATAAGACTGACATACTTACTACCCACAAAGAGAGCCCCTTCAAGTACATACTTTAAACACAATCAATTAAAATGATAGCTGACATTAAAACTTTCAACAGTAAAATGCAAGAGCTTAGCAATTAAAAAAAAATTTATGTCAAAAATGTATTATAAATGAAATTTGAAACCCTAACAAAAAGCTGAGAAACACAAATCTGTCCACATAATAAATGGTACAGGCTTAACAAACAGCTCTTAAAATCAAGAAAAGATGAACAATGCAATATAAAAATACATGTATTTTTGGATACAATACATTTATCTCCCAAATGGTCAACCCAATTGGTAATAAAAGAAATTAAGTAAGAATAAGTAAAAGAAAAAAAAAAAGGTGCCTTAGAGATGATCAGATTTGGGAAAGCTTTCCCAAGTAACACTGCCCAGTTCAGGTGGCTAACCAGGAGCTGCAGGAACATTCCCACACCCAATACTCTGCGAGAGCAGGCCTCCTTCAGCACCTTCACGAGAGACCTTCTGCACTCCATTTAAAACTACCCCCTCATTCCCAGCTCTCAACCCCTCTTATCCTCCTCTATTTTTCTACCTTATCATCTAATGTACTACTTAGTTAAGTCTATTGCTTATTCTGCCTTTCCTCATTAAAATAAAGCTCCTATAGGCAGACTTTTTTTTCACTGATGTATCATATCAAAAGGATGGAAAACAGCGCTTGGGACATGGTAGGCATTCACAAACTAGTGAATCAGGGTTAAACTGGGTAACTCTCTTTCTGAAGAATACAGTGCCAATATGAATTAAAAAAAATCTTTAAAATGTTACATGCCAGTAGTATCACTTCTAAGACTTGAACCTAAGAAAATCTGATGTGAACAATGATTATCCAAAAGATTCATCTTCCCCGTGCACTGTGAAAAACTGGAGTCAGCTGACAGTGGACCATTTAAAATGATATGTAATATTTAATACTATGAAAAATATTCATGGTAATGTTAAATGGAAAAAGGTATACCCAACAATATCATTTTCATCTTAGAAAGTATGTGTTGATTAATAAACTTAATTAAGGTACATCCATTTAATGTAATGAAAGAAGCTATTCTCTCGTGTCCTGATAAGAAACCATTTCTAAGACTTACAAAAAAGGCAGACTTAAAAAAAAAAAAAAGGGTGCCCTATAAGAAACTGACATAGAACAGATTTCCAAAGTACAGTTAAGTGTACTTTAAGAATAGATTAAATGTATTCTTATTCAAGGTTATGACAGACAGATAAAGGCACACAGCTATTGATATACATCTTGGAAACTAAATAGTTAAAGGGAGTGAGTACACTGTGACCTTTTAGAAACATAGCCAGTGGCCATGGAAGGGCACCTAAAAACATCCAGGCATTTATGTCCATTACTGAGAAGTCAGTTCACTCAAGCTCTACCTTATTTATCTTCAGACACACTAAAAGAACTGTCACTTGGAGACAGCATTGATTAGTATTCAGGGCTTTGAGGGATATCAGACCTAGGTTGGAATTCTAGCTTTTTACATTTTCTGGGGGAGTAATCTAGCAAATCCCCATTTCCAAATCTATTGATATAAAGTAAGAGTGACAACCACCAACTAGCTAATGTAGTAAATAAGAGTACAGAGCCTGAAAAGGTGAAATGGAGAAGAAATTCAACTAAGACAACTAAAAATTCCTAAAGTCAAATCTTTCAGCACAGCGAAAGAACCCAAAGGAAATAAACCATACAGAGCACTAAGCTGGAAGGCAGAAGTCCTTAATTTCAGTTTTACCTCATCATGCGACCGGCTCTAGTGGTGTATCATTTCACCTCTAGTATATTAAGGTTCCAGCTTCAAGAGCTGTAAAAGTCAGAGAACTGCAAATCCTTTCTACCCACACCACCTAATGACTACATTACTAGATATTAATACCCATTTTACTCCCAGATATTTTTAAAATTTTCTATTTAAATTCTTGGTTTTTGTAATCTGGTCTTGATCAGTTTTCATTTATGACTGTGCTACAAGTCATATCAACATACATATTTCCTTAACTAGTCAAGATATGAGTGCTAAAAAGTGGCATATTCAGTATTCAAAACCCAATCTGATTCACTCTGAAGCTCAAACTCTCTGGCATGCTTCTTCCTCAGACCTTCTCCCCGATTAATCTGATAACTAGCAGGAGCTTTACTTTGCTAAATGACTGGAAGTCAGGAGTTCAGTCAAGAGTCATGGAACCGAGTCAAGTTACCTGAGTCAGGTGGGGCTTGAACTTGTGACATAGTACTCTAACCAAGTAAATTAATTAAACATTTCAGCTACTTAAAAGGAAGCTGGAGAAACAAAAAAGAAAGGCAAACTAGCAAGAAAGACTGAGACTACTTAACTGGGAGACAAAAACAAAAATGAAGCACCTCCGAAATTACAAGTAAGAAGGTGATTCACTCATTATTTTCTGGAGTCAAAGTTGTGCAAGATGAAATGGTTAAGTGCTATATTATTATATTGCTCATTTGCTTTTGTTAGAGTATGGAAATAATTAAGAACACAAATACAACTGGGTATGGGTTGTCCATACCCAGAGTAGCGAACTGAGTACAGATAATCTATAGCACATTATCTTATTTGGCGTTAGAAACAAAGCATATGGTCTAAATAGATAATCCAGAATAAAAAATATTATGATGTCAAAAATAAAGCATATGAACATCCACACTGACTTACCTCCAAAGTATAGGTTGATTCAGACTAATACTAAGACACACACACACACACACACACACACACACACACATTTAATTCCCACTGCAAACTAGAACCAGGTTAGCTCCTTGCTGTTCTCATTAAACTGGCCTGGGTTTAAAAACTAGTTTTTGAATAATCCATACATGAATCATCAAGAGGCAAACACACGAACACATAAAGCTAAAATTACATGTAAATGCTTTGGTCACCACACACTTTACAAAATATGAAATTTCAGTAAGACAGTAAAAGAAATGGAGCAAGAGGTGTGGTCACCTACCACTTCAGCTCTACAGATGGAAGTCATAATGTGCTTTCTTCAAACATTAGGTAACAAATGAAACAAAACACACACACTCACACACACACACACACACACACACACACCCCTCTGGCACTGTCATTCAGAAAGGCAACCTAGGAAAGTCATGTATGTGTTTTATCAGTGCAAAGAGAATGAGGCAGCATACAATATCACATAAACATCCAGTAAATGGCAAAGTAACAAGAAAATGATCCATTTTTTCCTGAAAACAAATTGTCTACAATGCTGATTTCCAAGACCCTTCATTACTGGACGTTAGCACAGGATAAAAGTTCTGCAGCCTAAACCTCACTTGCAGAAGCCCTCTACAGGGCGTTTCTACTAAGCTGTGGCCAACTTTTGTGTTTCCCGTAACACCACTAAACCCTAGCCAGGCATCCTGCCGTTAAAACCGGACATGGGGCACGGAACACATCAAACCAGAATTATCAACAGTCACTACTGCGAAGCCCACTCCAAAGGCTGCTGCCAAAAGCGCTCTGCCTTCCGCGCGAGGGCTGAAGACAAGCAGACCCGGCACGGGCAGTCGGCACAGTGGTCTGCCTGCATTATTGCAAAGCAGGCGAGGCGCCCTGCAGGCTCAGGAAGTTGACTAACCTTGGGGAAAGCTCCAAGCACTCCCCTATGAGAGGGAGCGGGTGGTTGGCCGACCAAATTACGGAAAACTCATTCAAGGATTCCCTGCCGGCCTACCGTGCAGACGTAGAAGGCAAGTTAAGACGCTGGGAAGCAGTTATGGAAAAAAGACTAGAGTTCACAGACTGATAATGATCTACCAGCTCCGGTGGGAGGCCCAAACTAGGGGAGCTTGTGCCGCCTCTCTGCAATTGGGCACGGGCTTGGGTCCTCCTCCAACAGCCCTTTCCAGCAGGCCTAGGGCTGCTCAGACCCAGGCCTGGCCTTCAGCAACAGAAACTCGCCTCCACATGGTTCATGGAGAGCGGCTCCCCAAGGCCGTCCCGGGGCCATGTGGCTTGGGCCGCAGGGTGTCCAGACCCGGTGCACGCTCAAGACGTGAAACCTGAGGAGGTGCAGGAGGAAATCCAAAGAATGGGATGTTGGGGTACAAGACTCACTTCCTTTGGGCTTTGTCCTTCTTGGCCTTGGTCCTTTTCTTTCGGGCCTGGAGCGCAAGCACTGCAGGAGAGAGGGATGGATGAAGGACGAACGCACAGGAAAGGAGGCGACCAAGGTGAGGGTGGAGACCCGGCAGGGGCGCCAGGCCCGGGTGCGCGGCCGGCCTGAGGGGCGGCTTGGGGGCGAGCGCCCGGGCTCCGGCTGGGCGGCCGGTCGGGGGTCGGGCGCGGGCGGGATGCGCCGGCCGCTGCTCCGGCCGAGTCGGGGGGCAGACGCGAGGGAGCTGCCCCGCCCGAGGGCCCAGCCCTGCCCTGGCCCCGAGCGGCGGGCCGACCTGGCGGGGCGCAAGGGGCGCTGACCACCGGCGCGGAAGGACGCCCGGACCGGGGGGCGCGGACCCGCAGCCCCGAAGCGGGGGGGTGAGGGGCGGCGCCACCTCAGCGGAGGGGCGCTGCACGCCCCGGGCCCCGACTGCGGCGGTTAGGGGAACCCCCGGCGCAGACCCGGGCCTCGCCCCGGCGGCCGTTGCCCCTCGTGGCGGAGGCCGCTCTACAGCTCACCTTTCCGCTCCATGGCGAGACCGGTAACCGCCTGGCGCCTGCGCACTCGAGTGGCGGCGGCTCTGGCTCCCGCCGCGGCCCCAAATCAAGCCCGCGCACACCCCGCCCCCAGCGCCCGCCCCGCCCCGCCCCCGCGACGGCGCGCATGCGTGCTGAGCGTGGCGCCTACCACCTGCTCGCGGGAAGGGGGCAGTGGGGTTGGGGGAGGGGCCGGCCGGGGCCGGGGCTGGGGGAATGGGAAATTCGGACGGTGAATGCTGAGGGGGTGTCTGGGAGCCGAGCGCGTGGGCCTGGCGAGGTCGGGTTTGCTCCGCTTGCCCGGCGGCTGCCTCTTAGCAAGGAGGAGTGTGGTGTTGAGGGCTCCCCGCGTGTTGCCTCAGAGTCGGCAGCCAACAGCAGTCTTGGTTTTAGTTTCCTGGTCTGTAAAATGGATTAATCAGGCGTGTCCCAGTTCCGTGGCTGAACTATTGTGAGGACCAATTGAGATATTATACACAGAAAATGGGGGGGCGGGAGGAACGGAAGTGGGGGCAACACAAAAGAAAGACTGGAAGGAAGGAACCTGTGACCGCATGTGCCATTAAGAGCGACAACTTCAAAAGTGAAGTTTCTCTTAACAGTTCTAGTTTAAATAAGGACCCTCAAGGGAGGAAGAGGGAGAATAAAAATGAGAAATGTTTCCTCATTTCCCCACTTGATCATCTTTTCAGTACATAATAAGTGATTTTTGTTTAAAGGGGTATCTTCATACTTTCAGAAGTGTGTTATTTTATTGGATGTTCATAACAATTTAAAGGCAAGATAGTTATCTCCAGTATACAAATATAAAATTTGAAGGGGACATGTACTCAGGAGAATTCGTACTTAGAATTTGGTACGCAATGATCAAATCCTTATTGCAAAGCAGAGTTAGTAAAGCTTTTCTGCAAGAGTGATGTAGTAAACATCAAGGCTTGTGGGCCATCAGCTTGCTCTCTCCGCTTAGCCCCTGTAGCTCAGAAGCAGTCATCAGAAAACTTGGGCTGTCTGTGTTACAATAAACTTTTACGTATGGACCCTGAATTTTAGATTCATGTCATTTTCTTGCGTCCCAAAATATTCTTCTATTGATCCTCCTGTACCCCACCCCCCACCCCGCCTTCCCTTTTAAACCATTCTTAGCTCAAGCTTTAGTTTGCCAGCCTGAGTTGTAAAGTATTGCAGCTGCACGGGGTGGAATCTCTGAAGGCTCTTGTCCAGTGGAGAAGACAAGACAAGTAATCGCCTGAGAAAAGAAGAGGAAAACACAACAGTAGTGTGCATGTCTAACGTGGGGACCTGGATGGGATTTATTGAGCAAACTGATTAAGTCCAGACTGGGAGGAGGCAAATTTTGAGATGTGTCTTGAGAAATGGGTAGGGTTTCCACAGGTGGAGAAGGAGATGTCAGGCATTCCTGAATGAACAAAAAGGCATAGACTCAGAAACTTCTGGGCAGGGCTGGGGCTGGTAATGACTGAAAGGATGAAGTGGAATGTGAGGCTGGAAAGGTAGGTCTGCTAAATTTGAAATTTAGGTAATTAATAGCTTGCATAGAACCTGAATGATAGCATTTCTGGGTACATTACAAAAGAGACCAGCACCTGTTGACCAAGGAAGACAGCAAGACAGTTTCCACTCCACTCTATACCTGCAAACAATGAGAGTTGGGTCAGTGAAGCCCTAGAGACTGAGGATGCTGCTAGCTTGAGGAAATCACATGTGGACTAGACGAGGTAGAAGAGCATGGTGACTGCAAAATTAGGAAAGTGCTCCCACCCCAAAATAAACTCTGAGATTAGTTCCCTGTTTGGGGTTTCCTTGATGTAGCCTCAGCGCCCAGCACTTACGAGATGCTCAAATATTTGTCTAAACTAAGAATGAAGGATATTTAGTTCATGAGAAAGGTATGGACGAGAGAGAGAAAACATGGAGGATGTTAATATGAGGACTACGCTAAAACTCGAATGGTTTAGTGCAAATCCATCAAAATAGAAATCTTTTGTGCAGCATGAATTGGTCATGCTTGTTCTAACTCTGTGTGACAATTGCTTCTCTCTCTAAGAGCTTACTAACCATCCATTTAATAACTCATTTGAGAATTTTTCAAGAATCAATGTCAAGTTCACCAGAATGAGTTCTGAGAAGTGACCACTTTTCCTTTTTTATTTCTCCATTGCCCAAAATGCTTAGATTTCCCCACATATTTTCTAGGATATCTATAATTGTTCATAGAAGTTACTTTGTTTTCCTCCCTATTTTAAATCTATACCTTTTTTTTTTTTTTTTGCACTTCTTGATTTAAATGTAACTTTAAAAATCACTCCGCCCCCTCCACCCATTTCATAGAACTTGGCCTGTACTAGATTTTACCCTTTTGGAAATTATTCTTATAAGTAACCATTCTTTGATATACATTCTCAATAACATGTATGCCCCTTGCCACAATTGTTTTTCTGCAAATTCTTCTAAAAGTGAAATTATTCAGAGAACATGAGCCACAGTATTTTTCATTATTCATGGATACTGTCAGGATTTAATTTTTGAAAAGATCCCATTCCTCTTGAGCTAGCTTACTTTTTAAGACTTCCCTGGGATCTTCCCTAACATGCCTTTGAAATTTTTGAAATCTAGTCATTTAGCATTTAGGACACATGTTTCATCATACCCAACATTTCCTGCTTGATTATCACAGACGCTTACATTTTGTCCAGTTTTGATTTGAATTAAATTTGAAGTAGTACTCCCCCTACGTGGACAAAAGAGCAAGTGAAAATATTTCAGATGTTTTGTTTTGAATAAGATTTATTTCCAGTACACGTCTGCATAGTTGGAGAACCCTGACAGAACTTTATTTGTGACAATTTAGCAAAGTATATTAGGAAAATATAATTATAGTCTTGGTTTGAGCATCAGCAAGCATGTGGCACATACAACAGAATAAAATATGAGAATTGAATGAAGGGACTGAAGTGTAGAAGGGGTTAAGGGAAACCAAAGAATGGTGAAGTATCCAGGGTTCAGCAATAGCAGGAGACTTTACAACCCCTAGACCCAAGGAACAAGGACAAAGAGACATTACCAGAACACAAGAGAGCTTGTATTAGTTTCTCCAGTTGCCATAACAAAGTAACAGAAACTGGGTGGCTGAAACAACAAATTTTTTTTCTCACAGTTCTGGAGGCTAGACTTCAAAATCAGGTTTCAGCAGGATTTGCTCCTTCTGAGGACTGTGAGGGAGAATCTGTCCTCTTTCCTTGGCTTGTAGATGACTGTCTTTTCTGTGTCTCTTCACATCATTTTCCCTCTAGGCTTGAATCCCTGTGTCCAAATTTCCTCTTTTAGTAAGGACACCAGTCATATTGGATTAGGGCTCATTCTAATCTCATTTTAACTTGATTACCACTTTAAAGACCCTACCTCACTTAAGGTCATGTTCTAAGTTATTGGGGGTTAGGATTCTAATATATCTTTTGGGGACTCCAATATATCTTCTTATATCCAATATGTCAAACTCATAACATCTATAGCACTAAAAAGTGCTACCTAAACAGGAGCTGTGCCCTTTGATAAAGAGATAACTATTGCCAGCAGAGAAAAAAATATCCCACTTCTTTCTCTTCTCATCTTTTCAAGCTAGTTCCTCCCATTGACAAAACAAAGTGGAAGTTAGAAGGCATGAGTGTCTGGGTGTCACAGTTCATCTAAGTTAGCTTCCCAGAACACAAAGCAGGGTGGGGAGGGCGGAGGGTGAATCTGGAGGGGCAATCAGAGCATATCCAGCACAGCCTGTCTGAGCAGTCTGCAGGACGCACCCAAAGCAGCTAGCAATTTCTAAATAAGTCAGCTTCTGAGGCTTCCAGATCCCTGGAGGGACTTGAGAGCAGAAGCTGTTTGGAGACAGCCCCTTTCTGGTTTTGTTCTTCTTCATTGTGAAGTGTAAGCTTCACAGTGAAATTATACTGGAATAAAGAGTTGGGGGGAGAAGAGGAGGAGATAAAAGAATAAAGGCCTTGTCTTGGTGGGTGGAAAACTATGTCAGTTTTTTGCATTCTCAACTCTGTTCCTAGGGTGCTCTGGCCAAAGCATGAAGGTTGGAGGAAGCTGGTGGGAGGGTTCTCTAGCAACAAGTGTTATAGGACAGGAAGAGGGGCAGCCCAAACCCCGCAAACCTGCCTATTCTAAATGGGTTCTGCCATCCGCCGCATCAACACAAAACACATGAGACTAATGGGAAGGATCTTTAATAAAACTAGGAAACAATACAGGTAAGGCAAAGAGTCTAGTTTCTAAATGAAGCACCCAAAGTTACCCGTCCCCTTGTGGGTAAAAGTCCATCCATATGGGATTGACCCAGAACAAGGCCCCAAGGCCTGCCACAAGTCTAAAGCATCTTCCAGTGGGGACCCACAGCAAAGGGTCAGAAACAAGCAGACAAGCCCGGAAGGAAAAGAGCAAAATCAACATTAAGATAAAAGCTGCCATTGTCACCTCCCTATGGGTCTCACCCACATCTGTGTCACCCAGTCCACAACCAAAAGACAAGCGCGGTTTCTTCATGTGTCTCTAGGCTCCATGCACCTCCTCCAGGTCTCCTTCTGGCTCCATCCTGCTTCCTTCCTCAGTCTCTTCTTCAGCTTCTCTTCTTCCTGCTCAGCTCCACCCTCCCTTGGGTGGGGCAGGGAACCTCCCCCTTTCCTGGGGACCACCCTGTTGCACAAGGAGATACAGAGATTGGTGCTCTGGTGGCAGGTAAGGCCCTTGCTCTGCTCCCAGGAAATGCTCTGGGGAAGCAGAAGGTGTTGCAAACTGGCCTAAGTTGATCATGTCCATTCTTTTTTTTTTTGGTTGATAATCAGCCAGAGAAGTTTGAAGTAGTGAAGATTTGCCTGACCTCCATTCTCTTTCCTGGTATCTAAGGAAAACAAGTTTCAGACTAAAAACTGCTATACACCTAATATTTGTTAAAAAATTCATTAGCAGGCAGGCAGAAAACAGCTCCTATGACCTTTTTAAATTCTTTGAGTTCTTGCTGTCCATTTGGATGCTCAGGCCACAGCATGA